GACATATCAGTGATGTTGGAGGTGTAACTGTAACTGTGGTATGAGCTGACATATCGGTGATGTTGGAGGTGTAACTGTAACTGTGGTATGAGCTGACATATCGGTGATGTTGGCGTTGTAACTGTAACTGTGGTATAAGCTGACATATCGGTGATGTTGGAGGTGTAACTGTAACTGTGGTATGAGCTGACATATCAGTGATGTTGGCGTTGTAACTGTGGTATAAGCTGACATATCAGTGATGTTGGAGGTGTAACTGTAACTGTGGTATGAGCTGACATATCGGTGATGTTGGAGGTGTAACTGTAACTGTGGTATGAGCTGACATATCGGTGATGTTGGAGGTTTAACTGTAACTGTGGTATGAGCTGACATATCGGTGATGTTGGCGGTGTAACTGTAACTGTGGTATGAGCTGACATATCGGTGATGTTGGAGGTGTAACTGTAAATGTGGTATGAGCTGACATATCGGTGATGTTGGAGGTGTAACTGTAACTGTGGTATGAGCTGACATATCGGTGATGTTGGAGGTGTAACTGTAACTGTGGTATGAGCTGACATATCGGTGATGTTGGAGGTGTAACTGTAACTGTGGTATGAGCTGACATATCAGTGAGCAGTTGTTCCTGTGTGTCACAAACCACTCCCTTATTATCCTACTGTGTTAGAAGTTCAAAACGGCGCTAGAAAGTGTAGGCTCTATCGATGTCAAACCACTGATGTTAAGCTACTGCGTGTTTTCATGTTATTTTGGATGGGGGAATTTATGCCCATCAGTTTAATCTGAATGTTTGAACTTGTAACGTGTTGCGGCTGCATGAACTTCTAATGCGGCTGCATAAATGTCTAATGCGGCTGCATGATCATCTAACGCGGCTGCATAAACTTCTAACGCGGCTGCATGATCATCTAACGCGGCTGCATAAACTTCTAACGCGGCTGCATGAACTTCTAACGCGGCTGCATGAACATCTAACGCGGCTGCATAAACTTCTAACGCGGCTGCATGAACTTCTAACGCGGCTGCATAAACATCTAACGCGTCTGCATTAACGTCTAACGCGGCTGCATGAACGTCTAACAAGGCCGCATGAACGTCTAACGCAGCTACATGAACTTCTAACGCGGCTGCATTAACGTCTAACGCGGCTGCATGAATGTCTAACGCGGGCTGCATGAACGTCTAACGCGGCTGCATGAACGTTTAATGCGGCAGCATGAATGTCTAACGCAGCTACATTAACTTCTAACGCGGCTGCATGAACTTCTAACGCGGCTGCATGAACTTCTAACGCGGCTGCATGAACTTCTAACGCGGCTGCATGGATGTCTAACGCGGCTTCATGTACTTCTAACGCGGCTGCATAAACGTCTAACGCGGCTGCATGAACGTCTAATACGGCCGCATAAACGTCAAACGCGTCTGCCTGAACGTCTAATGCAGCTACATGAATGTCTAACGCGGCTGCATGAACATCTAACGCGGCCGTGTGAACGTCTAACGCGGCTGCATGAACGTCAAACGCGTCTGCATGAACGTCTAATGCAGCTACATGAACATCTAACGTGGCTGCATGATTGTCTAACACGGCTGCATGAACGTCTAACGCGGCTGCATGAACTTCTAACGCGGCTGCATGAACGTCTAACGCGGCTGCATGAACGTCTAATGCGGCTTCATGAACGTCTACCACGGCTGCATGAACGTCTAACGCGACTGCATGGGATTTGAAAGATTATAGTGGTTTCATTGCATCCAATGGCAATGTAACGTACTGAGACGCTTGTGGATTTGACAGCTCTAACACGAGCCGTAACGCAGCGCCACCTCCAACACCGCCAGAACAACGCTTTGCGAACGTCAATCTGACTGAATCTAGCACAAAGTTATTTTAATTGAAGTACATTTCAATTGAACAGACATCATAGACTAGTGCTCATTCCTGTGTTAAGTACTTAGCTGCAGTTTCTGGTTTTAATTGAAAATGCTTAGAGAGAAAAAAGGAGAAGGGTAGAATCAAGTAGATCCATATTGTTTTATTTATTAGAATGGCATGTATGGAAAGAAACAACAGAGATCTGAAAAACATCATGTGGATTCAAATGACTAAACTTTTCCTGTGAGGACTAATGCAAACAAAAAACAACAACAAGAAGTGTGATGGTATCTAATCAATAGAATATGTTGATGTCTATTATTTGTCTTAATAACAGAAACGCTCATGTTTAAGTGCAATATTGTATTGTATTCATGTCCTTTTGATTGAGTTATAGTAATGTGTCACGTGTGTTATAAAGAGTTGGTATGAGAGCATTGCTTTTATATAGTCATCCTTATGGTTAAAAAACAAAGCCAAACGAATGCCGCATTGCTGATCCTAGGGTTGCAAAAAATCTGGTAAACTCCACCCAAATTCCCAGGTTTTCCAGAAATCCTGGTTGGAGGATTACGGAGTCTCCCAACCGGGATTTCTGGAAAGCCTGGGAATTTGGGTGGATGTTACCCCTAGCTAATCCCCTGTATCCTCTCCAATGCTAGTCTGTTTATTAGCCCTTTCCTATCAGTCAGTGGTGTCTCAGTGCTACTAATCAGTCGGTAGCGTCTCAGTGATCCTATGAGCTACGCAGAACACAAAATGAATTTGCTGAACCATCAAGAGATGTTTTGCATAGACATCAATTCGAGTTGAACTCATGCAAATTGCCTACGACGAGAGACGTTGGGAGAACAGAAAACACACACAGTGGATGGAGGTTTTGACAACAACGTTCAGTGGATGTCCGCGTTCCAAAAGGCACCCGATTCCCTCTACAGTGCACTACATTTGTAGTGAGTGTGGTGAAAAGTAGTGCACTATAAAGAGAATAGGGTGCCATTTGGGACGCACTATGAGTGAGTGATTTACTAGTAAGTGAACACAGCAAATTCCCTACATCTTACATCGTCTGGGTTTTATAAAAATAAGTGAGTTCATATTTACGGCATATTTATAAAAACCAACACAAAACGTCTCAATGCAAGAACACCCCAGTGAGATAGAGTTATTATGAATGAGTTACAGTGGAAGTAGTATTATATATGATGTCCTGTCTGTCTCTATTGATCTACAGGCTACAGAAGTTATATTCTTTCACTTCAGTATTGCTTGTCTTTCACACTGCTTGTGGTTATTTAGGTCTATAGAATCTGTCAACACAAAGACCCAGCCCAGTGTGTGTTTTAACCTGTGTGTGTGTGTGTGTGTTTCAGTGTGTGTTCCAGTGTGTGTGTGTTCCAGTGTGTGTGTGTGCGCTTGTGTGTGTGTGGCCGATCTAACATGCAGAATTAGTCAAGAATAGCTACTAAGTGGGACATTAGTTTGACAGCCATGGTGAGAAAAACATCTTCATCCCTCACCCCTCATCCTTCACCCCTCACCCTTCATCCCTCACCCCTCACCGCTCATCCCTCACCCCTCATCCCTCACCCCTCATCCTTCACCCCTCATCCTTCATCCCTCACCCCTCATCCTTCATCCCTCATCCCTCACCCCTCATCTCTCACCCCTCACCCCTCATCCCCTCACCCCCTCACCCCTCATCCCACCCCCTCAATCCCTCACCCCCCTCACCCTCATCTCTCACCCCCTCATCTCTCACCCCTCATCCCTCACCCCTCATCCTCACCCCTCATCTCTCACCCCCTCATCCCTCACCCCTCATCCTTCATCCTCATCCCTCACCCCTCATCCCTCACCCCTCACCCCTCATCCCTCACCCCTCATCCTCATCCCTCACCCCTCATCCCTCACCCCTCATCACTCACCCCTCATCCCTCATCCCTCATCCCTCACCCCTCATCCCTCACCCCTCATCCCTCACCCCTCATCCTTCATCCTCATCCCTCACCCCTCATCCCTCATCCCTCACCCCTCATCCCTCACCCCTCATCCCTCATCCCTCACCCCTCATCCCTCACCCCTCATCCCTCACCCCTCATCCCTCATTCTAAGAGGGGTTTAGCTGTTTAAATCCATGTACCCTGCTTCTAGCGTGTTAAAATATTCTTTAAATTGACATATCAGATGTGGAAAAACACTTTTTCTCTATTCAACAAAAACATAATGTTGCTAAAAACCTTGCTTTAGTAGGAGATACCACTTCTGTGGTGAGAGAGGAGGAAATAACTTATTTAGTCAAAACTCAGGACAGGAAGGAAGAAAAGTATTAGTTGTCTTAGTAGTAGTACCTGGAGCCATTTACCCCCCAAAAAACAAACATTTTATTGTAAAAGTAATACTTGTCATAATAAATTAAATAAATTAAACAACACATTTCAACTAAAATGTGACAAAAAAACAAACATATTTTGTCATAAAAAAAAAAAACTGAGAGTTGTATAAAGGAAGGAACACACATCATTGTATAAAAGCTGATTCAGGAACATACAGTCGAGCATCAGTCACCAGTGTTTAAATGTATAAACTCATTGTGGGAATATTTCATTATAAGTCAATAATAAATAAAAGCAGTACTGTAGAAGAAAAGGATGGTGAGAAGAGTTAAGTTAAGAATAGTCTACGGATGCATCCCAAATGGCACCCTTTTCCCTTTATAGTGCACTACTTTTGACCAGAGCCCTAGAACCCTAGAGCCCCATGAGCTCTGGTCAACAGAAGTGCACTATAAAGGGAAAAAATGGTGCCATTTGAAAAGCAGCCTATGGCTTGATAGGCTTCCTCGGCCTGACAACATAAATATAGCTATCTATACAAGCCAATCCAGAGTTCCTCCTAGTGTATTGTAGATAAGGGCTAAAGAAGCTACAAAACAAAATGGATGGATAGTCTCTAAAATGTACTACACAACTACATCATCAGGCGAGAAGAGAGAGGAGGAATAGAAGAAAAAGAACAATCCTTCCCTCCATTCTTCCCCCTTTCTTTCTTGTCTCAGGGACGGAGGTGAGAGCTGGAGAGAAGGATGGAGTGATGGATGGAGGGATGGAGACGGACGTCATCAGTACGGCGCAAACTTCTGTCTATCCGGTTTCTTCCCGATCCCGTTGGCTGAGGAGATCTTCGCCGTGTAGGAGATCTGGGCCTGGGCCTGGGCTCCAGCGGCGGCGGCTGCATTGGCGCCAGGGTTGGATAAAGCCAGGAAGGGTACAGATTGGATGGATTTCATGGATTGCATTCCAAGGAGGCTGGAGAGGGGGAGGGCCCCATAGGGGTGGGTGCCCATCATGGGGACTGCAGCGTGGGGGTGGGAGTGGGACATGCCAGGGCAGCCCATGGCAGCCAGGGTGGCAGCAGCCACGGCTGAAGACTGGGCTGGGGAGGGCGGTTGGGTGTAGGTCATGGTGAGGTCAGCAGAGGTCGACATGGAGGAAGACTGGGCGGTGGATTTGGCGGTCTCTAAACTGCACAGGGGGGATAGGAGGAGGAGGAGGAGGAGGAGGAGGAAGAGGAGGAAGAGGAGGAGGAGGAGGAGGAGGAGGAGGAGGAGGAAGAGGAAGAGGGGGGATTGGAGGTGTAGGGAGGGAAGGAGGGAGGAGGGAGTAGGAAGTAACGGATGGAAAAGGGTTAGAAGGTTAAATAAATAAAAGACATGTTAAAGAAAGAAATTGAGTGAAATTAAATAAATAAAATCAAAAAGGAGATAAAAATTCCAAATCATAAAAGAGGTGTGTTTTGCTGGAGGTTGCAACAGATTATTTGAGGGGGGATCTTTTTGACTCTCATGGGGGGAGCGGGTGCTATAAGTCAGGGTGATGGCTTGGGTAGGGGCTTGGGTAAGGGAAACACAAATAAGTTCAAAGTTCATTAGGATTTTCCTTATTCTGTAAAGGATCAAAGATACATATTGCATTTGTCAATATGTAAATAAATATTACATTTTAGTTATTTTAGCAGACGCTCTTATCCAGAGCAACGTACAGTTAGTGAGTGCATACATTATTTGTATTTCATTTTTCATACTGGCCCCCCGTGGGAATCGAACCCACAAACCTGCCGTTGCAAACGCCATGCTCTACCAACTGAGCTACATCCCTGCCGGCCATTCCCTCCCCTACCCTGGATATTGCTGGGCCAATTGTGCGCCGCCCCATGGGTCTCCCGGTCGATGCCGGCTACGACAGAGCCTGGATTCAAACCAGGATCTCTAGTGGCACAGCTAGCATTGCGATGCAGTGCCTTAGACCACTGCGCATATTGCATTTGAATTGTCTGTGTGAATACAATGTGTAAGCACCGTGTAATACAGTCTAATATACAGTGTATCATGTCTAATGCAGCATGACTACAGTATGTGTTTTTTAGGGTAGAATCAATGATAGCTTGGAATGACCAACTGGCCCTACAGTCAAATCTTTGTTCTTTGTAGAAATGGGGTATGTTCAAAATTCTGCACTTTTCAACTGCCTTTTCAACACTTGGTAACAGACAGAGTGAGTGAACGATCTAGTCTGACATCTCTGCTGATTGGAGGGGAGAGGACCTCTGAGAGAAGTCACACAACATGAATAATCATAACAAGATAAAAGACTTGATTTAATCAGTGTGTTAACGCATTATTGTCATACTTGACAGTTTTAGTACATACTTCAAATGTGTTGCTAGTTTTCTTATAGTACGAGCTGTTGAAATGAATGGGCAACGTTCCGTTAAAAAAAGATTAAACAAATCTGTAATCTGTGGAGTTAGATAAAAGTTAAGACTGTCATGAAGCACCAATCCCCCCGACAACGATGAGACAGCCTATAGGGAGGAGGTCAGAGACCTGGCCGTGTGGTGCCAGGATAACAACCTCTCCCTCTACGTGATCAAGACAAAGGAGATTATTGTAAACCAAAGGAAAAAGAGGACCGAGTAGTGGAGCAGGTTGAGAGCTTCAAGTTCCTTGGTGTCCACATCATCCTCTGTAGCTCAGCTGGTAGAGCATGGCGCTTGTAACACCAGGGTAGTGGGTTCAATCCCCGGGACCACCCATACACAAAAATGTATGCACGCATGACTGTATGTCGCTTTGGATAAAAGCGTCTGCTAAATGGCATATTATTAAACTATCATGGTCCAAACACACCAGGACAGTCGTGAACAGGGCACGAAAAAGCCTATTCCCCCTCAGGAGACAGAAAATATTTGGCATGGGTCCTCAGATCCTCAAAGAGTTATACAGCTGCACCATCGAGAGCATTGTGACTGGTTGCATCACTGCCTGGTAAGACAACTGCTCTGCCTCCGACCGCAAGGCACTACAGAGGGTAGTGCGTACGGCCCAGTACATCACTGGGGCCGTGCTCCCTGCCATCCATTACCTCTATACCAGGCGGTGTCAGAGAAAGGCCCTAAAAATTGTCAAAGACTCCAGACACCCTAGTCATAGACTGTTCTCTCTGCTACTGCACAGCAAGTGGTACCGGAGCGCCAAGTCTAGGTCCAAAAGGCTTCTTAACAGCTTCTACTCCCAAGCCATAAGACTCCTGAACAGCTAATCAAATGGCTACCCGGACTATTTACATTGTCCCCTCTCCCCTCTTTTACGCTGCTGCTACTCTGTTTATTATTTATGCATAGTCACTACATGTACATATTACCTCAATTACCTCGACTAACCTGTGCCCCCGCACATTGACTCTGTACCGGTACCCCCTGTATATAGCCTCCCTACTGTTATTTCACATTGACTCTGTACCGGTACCCCCTGTATATAGCCTCCCTACTGTTATTTCACATTGACTCTGTACCGGTACCCCCTGTATATAGCCTCCCTACTGTTATTTCACATTTGACTCTGTATCGGTACCCCCTGTATATTAGACCTCCCTACTGTTATTTCACATTGACTCTGTACCGGTACCCCCTGTATATAGCCTCCCTACTGTTATTTCACATTGACTCTGTACCGGTACCCCCTGTATATAGCCTCCCTACTGTTATTTCACATTGACTCTGTACCGGTACCCCCTGTATATAGCCTCCCTACTGTTATTTCACATTGACTCTGTACCGGTACCCCCTGTATATTGCCTCGCTACTGTTATTTTTTTGTTATCTATTTTTTACTTAACACCTTTCTTTCTTAAAACTGCATTGTTTGTTAAGGGCTTGTAAGTAAGCATTTCACTGTAAGGTCTACACCTGTTGTATTCGGCGCATGTGACAATTTTTGTTGTTGGATTTGAAGCAGTGAAATGTCCCCTTGTATCATGAGTAGGGCCTGACCAGGGTCATGTTCATTAGGCACCGAACCAAATAAAATGTGCTGAAACAAGGAGGGACTACCTGGACTTGTCCAATAGGAAAGGCCTATTTTCATTTTCCGTTGCAAAACATATTGGAAACATTTTCTTCTGTTTTTTGTGCCTATTGAACACGGCCCAGGAAACCCTGAGTGGTGCCAGAGTTATAATATATAATAATAAATAGACACGTTTATCCAAAATGACTTACAGTCATGAGTGCATATATTTTACGAACCCACTACCCTGTTGTTAGAAGCTCTACCAACTGAGCTACAAAGGACCAGAGCTTTCTCTTACCAGGAGGTGATGAGGTATTGGGCAAGATTGATAGAGATGGGGGTCCCTGTGATGGTGACGTGCCTCTCGCTGGTGCTGTCCAGCTGGCTACCAATCTTTATCTGAGCCCCTGACACCTGGCGGATCTCATTGATCTTGGTGCCCTGGCGCCCGATGATGGAGCCGATGAGCTGGGGGTTAGAAAGAGGGGACCGTTAGGACGATTGTGTGTGAGGGTGTGTGAGGGTGTGTGAGGGTGTGTGAGGGTGTGTGAGGGTAATCTTGGTGCCCTGACGCCCGATGATGGAGCCGATGAGCTAAAGGAGAGACGTGAAGGAGACCATGGGAATCAGATCACATCGCTATCACAATAACCACAAAGAAGGAATTTAGTGTTGATAATACTAAACGTCCAGGGCTCACTTAATAAAAAAGAGACGTGAAGCTCAATGTGACATCCCAGGATAAAGGATACATTAAATATAAATGTAAAGGTTTGTGTATCATGGTTAACATTGTCTTGAGCATGGTTTTAAAAAACAAACATGCACTCGCTCTAACCTCATCATTTGTGTCTCAGAGCCTAACATATCTACCAGTAGAAAAGCCAATAACCTCACAAATCAGGGGTCAATTCCAATCCCTTACAAACACTACCGGTAGTCAATCTGTGCACTGCATCCAGCTAGACTCTAACTGCTATAGCTCATATATCCCTAGCCCAGATCCCTGAGGCTAAGTCACTATTGATTTCTCACCAAGGTAACTTCACAAGTGTATTGCCTTCTGGACACGAGCTAGTGCCTCTGTTTAGTGGTTACTGGAAACACAATAGGAAACAACTGGCAGAGATGACAAAATGAACGATAGAATGTGACTAGTAGTGACTGCTAAATAGTTAGTAAGTTGACCAAATAAACTACATGACCAAAAGTATGTGGACACCTGCTTTTTGAACATCTCATTCCAAAATCATGGGCATTAATATGGAGTTGGTCCCCCTTTCGCTGCTATAACAGCCTCCACTCTTCCGGGAAGGCGATCCACTAGATGTTGGAATATTGCTGCGGGGACTTGCTTCCATTCAGCCACAAGAGCATTAGTGAGGTCGGGCACTGATGTTGGGCGATTATGCCTGGCTCGCAGTCAGCGTTCCAATTCATCCCAAAGGTGTTTGACGGGTTTGAGGTCAGGGCTCTGTGTAGGCCAGTCAAGTTCTTCCACACCGATATCGACAAACCATTTCTGTTATGAACATCACTTTGTGCACGGGAGCATTGTCATGCTGAAACAGGAAAGGGCCTTCCCCAAACTGTTGCCACAAAGTTGGAAGCATAGAATCGTCTAGAATGTAATTGTATGCTGTAGCGTTAAGATTTCCCTTGACTAGAACTAAGGGGCCTAGCCCGAACCATGAAAAACATCCCCAGACCATTATTCCTCCTCCACCAAACTTTGCAGTTGGCACTATGCATTGGGGCAGGTAGCGTTTTTCTGGCATCCGCCAAACCCAGATTTGTCCGTCGGACTGCCAGATGGTGAAGTGTGATTCATCACTCCAGAGAACGCGTTTCCACTGCTCCAGAGTCCAATGGCGGCGAGCTTTACACCACTCCAGCCGACACTTGGCATTGCACATGGTGATCTTAGATTTCATGAAGCTCCTGACAAACAGTTATTGTGCTGACGTTGCTTCCAGAGGCACTATTGGGACAAATTCACAATTTTTACGTGCTGTGCGCTTCAGCACTCGTCGGTCCTGTTCTGTGAGCTTGTGTGGCCTACAACTTCGCGGCTGAGCTGTTGTTGCTCCTACACTTTTCCACATCACAATAACAGCACTTACAGTTGACCGGGGCAGCTCTAGCAGGGCAGAAATTTGACAAACTGAGTTGCTGGAAAGGTGGCATCTTATAATGGTGCCATGTTGAAAGTCACTGAGCTCTTCATTATGGCCATTCTACTGCCAATGTTTGTCTATGGAGATTGCATGGCTGTGTGCTTGATTTCATATATCTGTCTTCAACGGGTTTTGTTGAAATAATTTGAAGGTGTGTCCACATACTTCTGTATATACAGTTGAAGTCGGAAGTTTTCATAACTTAGGTTGGAGTCATTAAAACTCATTTTTCAACCACTCCACAAATTTCTTGTTAACAAACTATAATCTTGGCAAGTCGGTTAGGACATCTACTTTGTGCATGACACAGACAGATTTGTTTCACTTATAATTCACTGTGGGTCAGACGTTTACATACACTAAGTTGACTGTGCCTTTAAACAGCTTGGAAA